TGCCAGACATAACTGCAGGTGTGATAAAAAGATGAGTTATCAGTTTTTTTACGATAGTTATTAATATTTTCTGTTCATATGTTTTCCTTGATCGTCCGTTTGAAGAGATCACCGAAAGCGTGCAGGAATGCATCATTTATACGCACGGTTAGAGAAATTGAGATGTTATAAACGGGAGCAGTGAAAACAAATCACATCAAAAGATATTCAGTGTGTGAGGAAACCAACTTCGGAGGCTCGCCTCTCTCTTTTTTTTTTAATAATTACGAGACGGACGAGTTATATCCTGACATAGTTTAGGCTGTTTGATTGAAACAAAGCTGCTTGAAAGTTGCTTTTCATCCCACGTGACGAGGTTTAACACAAACACAAAGATTCGGCACACAACGGCCACTCAGAGGAAACAATTGAACAGGATCATTTATTTATATTTAAGAGCTGGGATTAAAGTCACAAAGAAAAGGAAAACAAGTTATTTTAAGAATATTAAGAGGATCCAAAAGCCAAATTACTGTTTTTTTTTAGTTTCTTGACATATCAGAAACTGTTTTAATGAAATATATATTTTGGAGCATATATCATAACTTGCGTCTGGATTTGTGCACAATCTGTGAACAGTGTGTATGTGTTGGGCTCTTATAAGATCAGTGCTGTGTGTTGTCATCATTGTATGTTTCTATAATTAGTTCTCTGCATTGAACCCATCACACCCAGGTGGAGCAGTGGGCAGCAATGTGGGTGCCCGGGGAGCACTTGGGGATTGGGTGTCTTGCTCAGAGAGACCACATGTGGGAATGGCTGGGGACTGAGCCTGGGGCTTTCGGGTCAGCTGCCCCCTTGTCAAGGGCTGAAGGAAGTTCTACAGTACTGTTAATAAACTGCAGGTTCAAGAAACTTCTCTGCATTTTTATGTTGTAGTTTAGCCAATAAATGTGCACCCATAATCCTCGACTGCAACATAATATTACCGTAATTTCCAGACTATTGAGCGCACCTGAATATAAGCCACGCCTACAAAATAAAAAAAAATATACAGTATATATTTTTGTACACATATAGACCACACTTGTGTATAAGCTGTGGGTGTCCATGTTGTAACATGAGATATTTACACAGAAAGATTTTTTTAACTTTTAATTATCAATGAAACAGTAAATGTTTTTTTTCTGAACAATGCCTGTAACACAGCTGGTTAAAAAAATACCGTAGCCTACCAGGAAGTCACTGAACACTTTGTACATCTTCCTCCTGTGCACTAAAACCACTACCATCTTCTTCCGTGTCAGAGTTGAACAGCCTCAACGTCACTTTCGTCTCGAGGCAAATTCGCGATTTTCTTTGATTTACGATTCACACTTATTTCAAGTGGCTGAAAATACTTCATTGTGCCCCAACGAGGGGGGAAACAAAGATTTCCTCCTCCTTGGGGGCACAACAGGGAAGTGAGGAGAGAAGTGGGAGAACTCTCCAGTGGACCAATGAAATCAAGTTTTATTGGTCCACTGTGACCTGTTTGGTGAGTTATTTAGTCAGTTGTTTTTTTACCTTTATTTATACAGGTTCATGAGGACTCGCCCCCCAAGTGAGACAGGTATTGGGCAGCTATGTGAGTGCCCGGGTATGACGCGGCTAAATGTTTTGGTGGCATGAAGCTCATTAGACCCATCAAAAAATAAATAAATCCATAAATTAGCCGCAGCATTGTATAAGCTGCGGTGTTCAAAGCCTGTGAATAAAGTAACGTCTTACCAGAAATTACGGTACAGACTTTTATTTTTGAAAATAACTCTTGATTCAGTTCGTCTTCAGAGTTCAGGCTCGATGTTGCTCTAATTCAATTCAGTTTATTCATACAGCGCCAAATCACAAGAGAAGTTGTCTCAGGGCACTGGACAGAAACATTCACATACAAAAGCCAATTAGTAAAGTTCTTTATCTAAAGAGTCAATGCACAGAAGTTTTCGTCATACTGACATCTTTTCACATTAAAACCAAAGATTGATGAAAATTCAAACCCAGTTTTCTTGGCTTCAGCGTTGACTGCCACAGGAAGTCTGAACTGAGTCGTTTCTGAAGTAAAATAAGAAGCACCAGAGAATCGGGCACAGATTAGTGAGCCGGTTTTAATACATTTAAATATCTCGTGGGCCGAGTAGGATTGTATCAAAGATTGTATCTGGCCCACGGGCCTTCAGTTTGACACATGCACATCAGTGTATTCATTTGGTCAACAGCGCAACTCCGTGGATATTTGAATGCTTCATCAATTACAGCTTTATTTTGTTTTTTTTTACTACAAAAGCACGACCGCTCTTCTAAAATCATATTTCTGCCATGCACCTGAGAGGACCACCGGTTTGTTTTGCCACGTTAAGAGAGCTGAGGTGTGTTCGTGGGCGGGAATTCCAATTTAGTCAAATCAAATCATGCAGGCTGAGGACTTTCCCCGGGTCAGCTGAGAGGAGCCTGGGATGCAGCTGCAGAGTCCAGCTTGATGGAGTTTTCCAGGCATACCACAAACAGCCTCCTGCCAGTGTGCCATCTGCTGGATGTCGGCTCAGTTACTCCCACTAAACAGGAGAGTGAGGGGCTGCCGAGCCGCACACATCCTTACAATCCCCTGCTCCGGGGCTGCAGCAGTCCTCAGCGTGCACGAGGAGCCCATATTTAGTTTGAGACGACTTTGTTCACGG